GGGGGTGAGGGGTGAGGATAGGAGGAACTCTCACGTGTGAAAAGATCTGTGATGCTCGTCGGGAAATTTGAATTAAACTAGTAAAAGAGATCATTTCCGAAGCAAGACGACGAGCACCCCCCGACCTTTTCACATGGGAGGCCCCCCCCCACCACCACCCCGGGATTTCATAGCAACAAACAGACTGAAATACAGTAAAAGAGTAAAATCATCCCAAAACGTCCATTTTTGACTCAGCTTCAGTGCAATGTGGTAATCACTACGATGTCTGGCAAGGTCACTGTTTCACTTTAATTTGTTAAGTACTGGAATTAAAAGAGCAGCTAGCCGCATAGAAAGCGATCGATCCACAAAACTGAACTAGGAAGCGTAAATTTGCATGTTCAGATCAACACAAAGCAAAGCAACAAACACTGTAACAACACAATGTTTCAGCCTTATAAACTGTAACACGTGCAGTTTCGCTCGTCCTCTATTAGGAGACATACAACGGGCTCTCAGAGGAGTCCGTCGCATGCACTTATCTTCAAATGAGATTCTCAGCTGTCCTGTGAACTACACAAGGGCTCTGCATAAAAGAGGATGCAAATCACCTAGTTTTGTTTTCGTCGTTCCCGCGCGCCTAATGCGATCGGTACGGTATTCGGATAATGCAGGATCAGTTTCAACAACTAGAAACCAAAATGTCAGAAAATGGCACAATAGTGGAATAATCTGAATCCGTTATTCCATTATTTAACATATATTACGAGCGGACATTCTGGCTTTGCTCGCAAAATCTCCGCGCGTATCATACATTTAACTATCGAATAAGGTGTATATATACTGTATTTTACTTACGGTTCAATAGTCCGTATCGAACGAGCAGTCAGTATCGTAGTGCGGCGAAACGAAGTTATTATAATTGATCGAAACTACAAGCTTTCTCTTTCCTTTAAAGCTAAGACCTGAGGAATCAATGAAAGGAGACGAACGATTGTTGTTCTTGCAGTGTCACATAATTTATAAGTGGTGTACATGACTCAGCGCCTCTTAACAAACGCGTACCGATATTGGTATTGATACTGATATTAGTCCTTATAGTTAATTGAGATATTTTGGGTGAGTATGGAAAATTGACAATTGCGAAATGCACAAATTTGTGAAGCACATGATAAATTTGGAGGATGATGTAGCAGGTTTCGTAAGGTCTCACATGAATGGCTTGCTACCCTTTGAGGGAACAATAGAACAAACAACAAAAACAATGCCCCTAGCCCTAAAACAATAACAGCTGCTAACAATGAAGAGAATTACAAGTTTACCAGAGCTGGTACACTTCTGACTTTGGAAAGCTTTGATCCAGAAAGGGCCTACTGAACGCGGATTGTCACGAAAATGCTATTTTGTTTTCAATGCACTTCATGATGTTTTTTTTATGAATAATTTCGACAGTGGCTAAATGTTTGCAGTAAAAGTTACAGCGGAACTTTCAATTAAGATTTTTTGTGGATCTTGGAGAAAACTGCACAAGTCAGAACCATTGAACCCCGCAAAAGTTTCGTGCAGCACGGTAGGTATCGACACGTAATCATCACTCATAGTGAACACGTGACAGCATGTGGGTGCCGTCTTGCGGTGAGAGACCCACACAGTCAATATCAAATGAGTCGAACTCGCAGAATATACAACAGTGATCAGTGAATGCATGCCTTTGGTTTCCTTGTTTCATTGTGTTTAATCTGTTAAATCCCTGTTAACCTACATCGGACGTTCTGTTTTCCTCTTCTGCCAGGCGAATGATCGGTCCGGGTTGTTCGAAAGTCGGCTAACGCTAACCCAGGGTATAAAACTGTTTCAGTGCTTAAGTATTGTGTAGTTAGGGATTATTGAAGACTGAAGGACAAAAAAATATACATGGACAGTAAACAGTTACCTTTCCGAAAAGTTACAAAAATGAAATCAAAATTCTCTCTAATCCTTACGGTTAGCTTAATCAGACTTTGCACAGCCCGGATCTGTTTTCTCGAGGTTCTTCCAAAAACTTATCCTAAAACGGCGCCATTCATGCGATAAGCATAACAGAAAATGGCGCTCATCCATTTCTGTGTATCGACAAGTTACCCCAAACAAGGATTAGGAAATTAAGAAAAAAAAAGGAAGGTTACTTCCCCATCAGGAGTAAGGATGTCCTTAATTGAGCCCTTACTCTGTTTAACTCAAGACCTATTCATGTCGCTACCCAGCAAGTTCGATAAAACGCCGTAATAATACAAATATGTTGTGACCTTGCTTAGACAACCCAGATCCTTCCAAGACTATTAAACGTAATCACCTGGTCTAGGCAACATTTCGTTACAACTTCAAATGACCCCGTTGATGGCATGGAACCAAACAATGACTTATAACCAAATTGGCCAACTTCATGTAAGAGCAGCCCATTTGCTGTTCCGATCCGATATCCTATTGAAAACGTCTTGGCGAAACAACAATCTGATTGACCAGATATACCCTGTCTAAGACGCTAAATTGTGAGAACTGTACACCCTGCTAAAGACCGCCTAAAGACTCTATTCCAGCTTGAAGTTTGGAGCTTTGCGCAACCCTGGCACTAATACTTTTCACTCGCTTGAAAAAGATCGCTTCAGTCTTTAACAGACTGAAACGAAGGATCCTATCCAGGGCTGCAAATAATTTTTCTCTCTATAAAGGACATATGTCCCACGAAGACACCATGATCTTGGTCGGAAATCACCTTAAAAAGTAAGATTTACTCAAGGTCGATTTTTATTCATCCTTACCGTAAAATGATTTACGATTAAAAAAAAAAAAAAAAACTGTCCGGACATCACCTCCGACCACAGTTGGAATTTCGTCGGACATGAGCAAATTTTGGTCGGCCAGTGTCCGATGACCGAATGCTCCCAACAACCTTTCGAAAACACAGGTTTGTCGTGTTTGTGTGGTCGCAGGCAAAAACAGACTTTAAAAAACACTATAATATTGCAATATTGTTTGGCAAGCGTGATTCCAGTCGGACCTCATGGCTTTCGAAGCGTACGCGGAAAGGATTCGTATATCACGTTTCCGGCTCCAGAACCAAAACAGAGAATGTTCAAAACTCGCGTACTATCGTTTTGGACGGGACTTAAGAAATACACGTAAGAAAAGCTGACAGCCCATTTTTCCCCTTCTTATCGCAAAATTAATCATTAAAATATTTTGCCTGTTATCTTTGACTACCGAAGACTCTGTAAATATTGTTTGGGAACATCTGATTCCCATAAAAAAAAAATAATAATAACATAAAATAAATAAAAAAATCATTTCTACACTTGCCTCCGTTGAATGCACAAAGCATCTTAAAGCACGAGATTCTTAACTGGAATAATAAATAATTCAGTCGTTGAGGACTACCTTAGTGAGGTTTTCGTTTCTGCGACCTTAAAAATCACTTTTTCTCACTTTACCTCGAAAACCCGGAGTGGCATTATTTCCATTTTCCACTATTTAAACACCTGTTTTCAGTTTCGTGTTTTACATTTAAAGCATATTTATTTTCTGTTTACAACTCGTAGATATCGGCAGTTTTTAACTTCCTCCAAAGCTTCTGCTAGTGATTTACCTTCTACTTGCGCCGAGCTGCGTGCAATCGGTGTCGATCGTTTGTAATCTTCGATCAGGTTTTTCGCTTTTCTTGCCGTTTTCTCCGAATTTTCAAATTTTCGGAGCAACGCCGGAGAAAGCGGAGGGGTCGAAGACGACACGAGACCAGCATCGTAGCTCTTTCGTCGGAAATCCACCAATAACTCCGTTTCATTGACAACCGATCTCGGAGAAATGAAGCTCGATGCTTTGGACACACATGGCGGTGTTTTGGATAGAATCGGCGACGAGGGTGCACTGCGAATTTTACCGATTTCCATCGTTGCAGGAAGTGATGGTCGCGGCTTTCGGTTCCTTGCGACCAATTCTGGCGTCCTTGGGGAAGGGGACGCGGAACGGACACATGCCGTGCAAGACTGCGGCCTTGTTTGGGACGTTCTGGTTATTCTCCCGTGACCTATCTGATTCGGAATAGGGTTAAGTCGCGGTAAACCTGATGCCGCCTGGTCAGAAACCGAACTATCGTCCTGTCTTTTACCTGGGGAAATTTTAGGCAAAGCGATGTCAGGCAAAGAAGCACACTTGTCTTTTGTATGCCCAGAAAGAGATGTTAACGACGACACCTTCAGCGCGCGAAGTTCTGGATCGGTGATCAGCAGCTCATTACAAGACCGTGTCACAGTATCTTGGCCATGATTTGTCGCCTTGGGTATAACGAGAACGCGATCCATGATTGCGCTAATCGCTTGTCGCTAACCTTTTCAAAGGCTTTTTTTGTGAATTACTTTTGCCTCTCAACGTTAAAAAGCAATACGAGTCAAATTAAAGGTACATTCCTGATTGATCTATCGTAACGAAGTTCAGTCAAAGCAAACCTTGATGAAGAGGCTGCTGTGATATTGCAATTTTCTTATCGGCACACCTGTCTTTCACACGCCGAATAAAGCTCGTCTCTTCAACCTGTCAGTCTTCAACCTGACTGCGACATCGTCAGTCGTCAAAACGCGTTATCTTTTATTCTTTCTCTTCGAGTTTTCTTGTTTGCAGTGTTTCTCTTTGAGTCAGTCGATGCAAAACTGAAGCGCTTGGGTCGCGATGTATTCGATCAGCGAATCCCTCTCCCAGTCAATCTTTGGCTAAATCTTAGAACCTCTATCTACTCTTATCTGACGCTGTTTCGTTTGTGACGAACGTCGAAGACAAGCCAGCCATCATGCTGAATACATAAACAGAACACGGCATAAAGACGTCAAGTCTATTGTTTTCAAGACAGAAGCAGACCGGTGGTAATACAGTAATCCAAAACTTAACAAGAATCCTATTGAAAATACGTCCTAAATGCGTATTTAGCATGTGATCTGAACAGCTTTCCGTGAGAGCCTACAAAAGACATCTTTCTCTCTGACGAACGTTTTACCGCATTCGCTAATGAAATCGCTTACCTTTTACTATAGTACTAATTATTTCTTGTTGAAGTTTACACAAGAAACAAGTTCCTTGATACAACATCCTGTTGCGTTTGACGGCAAGGTAATAAGTACGCTTCTGACACGAACCTCTTGGAAGATACTTTGTACGAATTACGGTTACGATTTTCACTTCGTAAGTAGCATCGTTTTAAATTGCCCAGTCCATGAATCGTAACCAAAACAAGATGGTGTTATAAATGTTCTGTTTGAAAATATTGTGTGCTTTCAATTCTCTTGGAAACAGCTGAGTTTATTTTTGGTTTAAGCCTTCTTTGAATTTTCATTTAAGAATTAGTGTTCTTTCTTCGCGTCTATCTATGAATACTGAAGAGTTAAGCCTAAAAACCGCAATGGCCGGCCATTCATATTATAGGCTTAAAAATCTTTCATTAGCTATACAGTCTATGATAAGCTGCTATCCTTTTTTGGTGTTTATGTCTTCCGTTAAAAGTGAGAATAGAAAGAGAATTAAAAAAAAACAAATAAAAACAAAATTCACACTAGAAGTGTAAACCACCCAATGTGAAAAAACAAACAAAACTATTTTATGATAATGAGTGTATGCCAGCGGAATTAACCGCACGGCATGTATAACTTAAACTTTTTTCTTTTTTCTTACTTTTTGTAAGTAAAGCATTTGTAATGATTAATCCCACGAAACCAACTTTTGATGATTTCTCCGCAGCAACGATTAGCCGAGTTTGCACCAGACAAAACGGAGAAAATCGCTGTACAATTTTCGTTCTTTGTAATTGGGGCAATTTTAAAGGAATTGTTGGAGATGTTTGCGTTAATATCAACAGCATAGCACTTTTCAATTAGCACAATCAATTCTGCTCAAGCGGCGTTGTCCTCGTTAGATAAAATACTTGTAATGGCTCGTTTTTAATATTCTACTCCTGAAGATGAACTCTAAGAGTTATTACATTGTCCAAACAAGTTAAGTGC